GGAAAAGTCATGCTCTCTGCCGACTGTGACCGTTAGAATGAGGTTATCCTTTGCAGACAGTCTCATTACTCTGGGCCAAATTCAGACATACTGTAAACTGTTTAAATTTGCTGATAGCCAAGAAAATACTCATTTAAATAACTTTATCTAGGAGGGAATACATATAAATATGAATTGAGGGTTCAGCCCATCATGCTTTCTCATATGCATACAGCCTGAGTGTAGGCTTCTAGGCCATTGCTCTTGTGCTTTGTTTTAAAGAAATGAAAGTGCTTTTTGCTTAAGCACTGTATTGCCATGTGGAGATAGGGAGTGAAATAACAGGATCTAGAATAACCTTTTAGGTGACAGTAACATAAGAAAGAATAGTTACTGTTAAAGGGCATCCTTTTGTCTTTCAGTCTCTTCAGGCAGAGATCAGAGATAGCTGCTGAGTTTCTGTAGGTAAATAAGAATTTCCAGTACAGAATTTATTTGTTTATTTTACACTGGTACTTCGTGTGTGGTATTTTCTATTGTGCAGTTGTGGAAGCTGCATTCTGACTACATTTTTTTTGTCACTGTATATATATTTTGTCATTAATACAGGAACTGTTTCTGTTTAAGCAGTATGTATATTTATATATCTTGAATGTAGAGAACAGCATGCCTTGCCTTTTGCCCATTTTCATTCTTTGGATTTTTTCTTGGGAAGCAAAACATAAATACACAATAGCCTGGTATGCAAAGGGAAGTATACTAGCAAAGTGGAAGGAAAGGCATTCAGAAACATGCCTTCCTCTAGCAGAAAGCCATTCTTCCCAGTATTGTGCTAGTCAGCCTTCCTCTGAACAAAGCCACTTCCATAATATCTGTAATTCCTGCATGTAAATCATAACTTCTCAGAATATTCTTTAAAAGGCTTTTTAGACATTATCTGTTGTTATGACATTTAATGTCCTCTGCAGTCATGTGGGAAGCCTATGACAGAGCAAGGAATGTGTGAACCAGACCACTCGATTCCCAGTCTTCCTTCTGTCCCCTATTGCGTTGAATTGGCTTTCTTTATTTTGCCAGCACACCATTCCTGATTATGAACATCATCGTCTTGGCAGGTTCCAACTGTGTTATTACAATTCAACGTACTCAGTACCTATTTTTCTTTAAGGTCACTAAAATGCAGTGTTTAAAAGGCACTGGCTTGCTTGAAGTATTTTGATCTTAAAATTCTTCTCGTAGTCTATTATTACATGCCAAGTCAGCCTCGGCTCCTGAATATGCAGCATTCCCACATCCTTCTGCAGTTTTCCAGCTGAAGTCCGTGTTTTGCCAACATATTATTTCATTCATCATCCAGAAATGGTAATTCCTCAGTTCCTGCTTTCCTGTTCTGGTCTAGGGTGTATACAGTGACGCCCTAGCATGTAGCAAGTCTGCATTCCTTTTCTTTTCTTCTCTCCTCATTTATGGATCCTAATGTGTGTAAATCCATTGCAAGCCATTTAAATGATAGGCCTACATAGCTATCTGCATGAATGAAGAAATTACACATGGTGTATAGATTGCTGTCAGTTCTGCAAGTGTTAAATCCCTTCATTTTTCTGCATTTAGTCAGTTAAATTTGCGTTAATTGAATTCCTATCTTATTCTAGTCCTTCTATCAGCTGGGTCAAGAACTTGGCTTTCTCTGTGATGGAGTTAGCTTATATTGAATTTGAGAAGTAACTTCTAAATGGTCCTTATAATAGATTGCAGAGACTGTGAGGACAAGCAGTCAAATTCTTGATTAGCTGTTCTGCCAGAGAAGAATAGCAATGAGTCAAAACCATGGCTGTCTTCCCAGGCAAGAATTCAGTGTTATTCTGAGGATCTCTTTTTAAAGACATTTCCCCTGGTAGTGTAAAAGTAAGGTATCTTTTAAGCAGACAGAATACCCCACTTAAAATGAAATATGATGCTCCAGGGTGGTGGTAAAAGAAAATATTATTTCTGGTTCAAGTCACATGTAACAGATCATGGCTGTTAAAGCCCTTTGTTGGTAGAATGAATCTGTATTGACTGCCTGGTTTCTCTTGCGGGTCATTACCTTGTCAGTTAATTGGAAAGCTTGTGAGGGGCTTCTCCGTGATGGTGTTTTGTGGTAGAAGAAAACAACCGGGGAATAAACTTAGTCAAAAGCTGTTCACAGTTGGTAACTATGGATGGTTCATACACAGTTTTGGTTGCTCTGTGTGATTGTATGAAGGGCTAATCCCTAAAAGGGATAGGGGATTCCTACGGTATTGCTCTGAAGGCTAACAAGGATTCAAAACAGGATACTACTGTGAAATTCATACCATTAATAATACAAATACACTTGTAAGAGTCTGCATGAACACTGTAACTGTAACAAAAGGATTCCTTAGATTCAAGTCTGTGGTTAATGTGGATATCACTAGCCTGGGTCAAAATGGTGATTTACTAATGTCATTCTTTATTGATATTTGCCAGATTAATATAAAATTATCTTAAAACTATATTTCTGCAAAATTCTCTTAAAATTATAGTTCTGCTATCACTGAAATGGCAGTATGCAGTTCCGTATTTATTTTTCAGTGACTTGATAGGTGCTCATAAAAAAGAAATCTGAGTATAAAGAGGGTGTTTTTTCCCACTCAGCACCTGGACCTGAAAGTCCACATGGGCTTGTGCATCCTTCTTAACAATGTGGACTCTACAGCTGGGTCTTGGTTTGTAATGCTGTTTTGGATGTATGGTTTAAAAAGAAATTAAAAATTGATCTCTCTCCTGTTAGCTGTGTGAATTCTGCAGAGGAGCGAAACATCGTATGAACCTGGGGGGTGGGGGGCTTTCTGTGAGGAAAGTAAATGGGTAAGAGGAAAGGCACACAGAAAATAGAGGTGCCACCTTTATACTGTTGTTCTTCTGGCTATAACTGCACTTTACGTTTTATTATGGCCTGGGTCTTTAGAGTTGAATTTTATAAGGCAGTTTCAGAACAATTGGGTCAGTCACCCATTATTCATTCAGTTACACACCGCAGCCTGGCTGCTCCCTGTTGACATCTGTACACAAAGCCCAGCTCTTTTTTACATAACCTAACCAGCTCAGATGCCGATTGGGGGAGATGCTGAAAGTCACTGGGAGCTCCAGAGCCTGGGAAAAGAAATGGCTAAATAGTTCTTTCCCTCTGGCATGGCCAGAGGCAGGCAAGAAGCTGATAATGGCATCATTACACATATGATGTTTTGTGTTTTGCCCATATATTGCTGTAGAAAAGGGAGGAACTGGAGACGGCTATGTGGCAAATGTTGTTAAACCACTTTTATGTAGCTAGCCAGCTGTATTGCTGTTTGTTGCCTTACGCAGGCGTTGACTTACACTGTCATGAGCTATTTCTGAGGGGGCAGCCTCATCTGGAGCTGGAGGGACCCCCGTGTGCTGTGGTGTTAATGAGGTGACTGGCCTTGCTGGGCTGTAGATTGAAAAGGTGTGTGTTCCATGAAGCGCAGGGCATTAGGGAAAGCAATGAAAATAGCTTGTCTCATTAATGCAGTTAAATGATAACACTGGACAGCTGAATTCTGCCTCTGAGGCTGCCTTACTCCTGCATGCGGCTGGGCAAGGTGGTCCAGCCAGCCTTTCGGTAGGTGATCGGAAACTCAGTGCAAGTCCAACTTTTCTGCTTTGGGGTTCAGGCTTGCATAAATGCTGACTCTTGAAACAGGACTTAGTAAGTGCCATGCTTGGAAAATACGAAGCAGCAAGTTCTCAAAAGAAAACTGAAATCCATGGAGGTAGGCAGCAGGGACTGTGTGCATGTCAAATCTGGCGCTCAGTCTTAAGGTGCTTTCTGAAAAACAGCAACTTGTGTTTCTTCCACCTGTAAAATGAATACAACACTGCCGTATCTTGAGAGAGTATTATGGAAATAAATCCAGTGATGTTTCTGAAATGTTTGGATGCTTCAATCCCGAACAGTAAAAGAAAAGCTAGAAATAAATTAGTAGTTCTGTATTCAGGAAGAATGTCAGTGGTAGGTTGTGAAGAAGTACAATTTTTATAATGTAGCTAAAAGGAAGAACTGAAATGCTGCTGTTGGGGAGTGCTGACTGTCACGTACACTGAATTGAGGTGTCTGATGGAAAAGAAAATAGCTTGTGATAAAGTAATTGAACACTGTATGAAAGTGTACACCTGTGAAGTAGGAGGGAGGGAAGTATTAAAGTTTCAAAAATAATCTATACTAACTCTTAATGTTTGATTTGCCTTGGATTTTTGAATTTTATGTTAAAAATGTAATGTGTGAATTTATTTACAAGCACCAAGGCACAGGTTTATGTTAGGTTTGGTAATATCAAAATAGTAAACATACCTTGTTTTATATGTGGAAGAAAACCTTGAATTTGTTCATATAAGCATGGACAATCCCTCAATTTCAGCTCACTGTTGAATCAATTTGGTACAAATATTTTGTAGGTTTTTATTAAGCTAAGTAAACTGAGTAGTGATATTTCATATAAAATTACAGTGAGAACAAGTGACGGCAGTTGAACCTTTCCTGGCAGAGATGGAAACTGGGTTATAGGAGGATAGTTCACTGCAAACTCTTTGTGTCAGAAACCCCTTTGTGTTAGGTGTTTGGATGGTAGCCTAGCAAAGCACCAGCCCTGGACACTGCTGGGAACTTGTAAGATATGGTTACACAAATAATCATAATTGTGTTTCAGATGGTAAGTAAAATGCATATAAACTCATTAATTAAGAACTGTAAAGCTAGTGTACGAACCGTTTTGCAAACAAACAGGATTAAGTGGGTAGAAATTGAGTGGAAGAAATGTTGGTTAGTCACTAGCAATGTTGAAAGCAAATATACAGATTCTATCTTGGGGTTGGCTCTTTTGTGTTAATATGAGTCATCGTAAAGCCTATGTGCTTCCATATAAAAATGTGTCTTGTGTAGCAGACCATGATGAGCAGTTAAGGTCAACTTTATTTTATTTTATTTTAATCCCTTCTAGCCTTCAGGAAAAAGAACAATCGTTCAGCATGTCCATTAAAGAAACTACTGCCAAAGTAAGTACACATCAGTTTTCAGTTTTTCAGAATATTTAGAGAAGCAGATAATAGCTTGCATCTTAATAAATTGTCTGTCTCTTAGACAGTTGGTTTTGTGGTGTTTCTTCTAAACAGATTTTCCATGTAAGTATTTTTAAACATACACTTTAGCCCTGCACACACACACACATCCACACCCCAATTTATATTTGGACAGGCCACAGAGATTATGCTTAAGGAAGTAGACAGAGTAATCTATTGTTTATTGGCTTATGTTTACTAGTGATCAGTCTTCTCTCTGGTCTCCATTTAGGAACAGACTCCCTAGCTTCATGAAATGAAAGCGAATTCTGGTCACAGCTGGATGTTTTCACTCTTAATACAGAGACTCTTACTTGCCTAGCTGACTGGTTTCATTGGTGTGAAGGAAGAGCATAAATGAAGTACCTCTCTTCCCCACCCTTTCACTAATAATAAGTTAGCAATCTAATTCTCATCCCCCTTTAAAAACACAAAGAAAATTACTGTGGCATATTTGGCACACCTTTTGTTTCTAACCAGAGATGTTAATACTTTTCCTTTAATTTTCCAAGAAAGAGACTACTGAAGTTTTCTTTTTATTTCAGAATGGCTCAGTGAGCCACAAAGCATCTTTGCTCCAGGAGTGCTCTAGAAAAAAAGTCCATTTATTGTAGCTAATTCATATAGGTCTATATGGAACAAGGAGTGGAAAATATTTCTGGGTTTTGATCAGTAATGAATTTATACTCTGAAATAAGCTCATTTTTCTTGTTCTTTCTCTAATGGCACTCACCAAAATTAGTGAAAATTTTGTCCTTTATAATCTGTTCTTCCCAATCATCTTGACCAACACTTTTAGCATGCACTGTTAAAAAGACCATTTAAAGACTGAGTCACAATACCCCTCCTTCTTTCTCTCCTACTTTATTTTGAGCTCATTCTCCTCTATTCCTTGCTTATGCACACATCTTGGGAAAAAATAGTATAGACCATTATAACATGATGCTCCCTCCTATATTTTTTAAATGACTATGAATAAAGTATAAAGGAAAAGATTGTAATTGACCTACAGCTCGTGTACTAAAACAAAGGAGGTATTTGATACCTGAGAGTGATGTGTTGTTTCAAGCTATCTGCAAGCTAAAATGTAAGTTATAGATTTTGCCTTCTCCCCAGAAAATGTGTGCCTCTTGAAGATTTGTTTTATAAGTGTGGTATCTAGAGACTTTTTCAATAAGATCTGAAATATTGGGTAACAATTGAGAAGTCTGCAAGGTAGAATTCCACAGCCTGTTTGTTTCTTTAAATATTCAGTAGTTAACTTACTATTTTAATTTCATTCCATTCCTACGTGATGGCTTTTATTTATTAGAGAAGATAATTAGGAAGGCACATGAGACCTCTCCAAATAATTTTATTATTTTATTTATTCAGATCATCTCATCCCATTATTTTCTTCTCAAACTGAATAGAGCTGGTCTTTTAAGCCTTTTTGTTGTATGGGGAAAACACTACTTTGGCAAAGGTCTTTTCTTTCCCTCTGTGCCACTAGTATTTATATGGCATTTTCTGCCTCATCTGTGTTCTTTTCAGCTGAGGTTGCAAAAGGTAAGATTTGCCTGTTAATGAAGGGAACGATCTCCCTTATCCACCTTCTTCCTTCAGAAATTAATATGTGCTTTCACTAGTGGCAAGCCTGTGCTGTACGGGAGTTCCAGATGGACTGCCCTTTTCGGCAGGCAGTGTAAAGAGCATTTCTATCTTTTCCAAGGTACTGTTGTAAAGAAATGTGAAGGTTACTCAAAACTTATTTTTTTCTTGAGATAGTTGGAGGAGGAGTAAATTTCCATGCTTTAGTCAGTGTCCTTGTCCTGTTTCTGCTGCTTTAGATTTAACATCATACACTGAAAAGATGGAAGAGGATAACAACGGGCAAATTTGCTTCTGATATTTTGCTGCTTTTCCTCTTGATTCCACATATCTTTGCTAACCAGCATCCTACTGGTTTCAGATAGACTGCATTTTGAGTAGTGTATATGTGTCTGAACACAGATTTGTGGGGTATATTCCTGAAGAAGAGCCTTTTTTTTCCAAAGTCTGCAACCCTCCTCCCCCAAACCACTGAAGAGGATTTTAAAATAGATACAGTAGTATTTGGCTCTAAAGAACTTCTCTGAAACTGAAAGGGAGTTGTTTTAGACTGGAAGCTTGCTGCTCCCTGGCCTGCAGCAGAGCTGGTCACTAAGAACAGGGAAAAGGCATTGCTGGGGCCACAGGCATAGGCGCTTGCAGTCAGACCGGTTAAGGGAGGGTGGCGCATTCCCCGGGAGCAAAGCAGGACACTGGCTTTGTGAATGCTCATCATCTTTGTTCGCTAAGAACCAACCTTTCTTTAGTGGATAAATAAGCTACTGTAATGAACAATGGTAGCTGTTATTAAGATAAAATAATTAGAAAGAATGAAAAGAATTGGAGCTTGTAGAGTAGAACTGATGTAATGTAAAAGGAGTGCTATTAGTTTAGAGGAGGTTATATTATTTTACCTCTCCCAGTCGTTCATTTAGTTTTGTCGAACTATGCCAAGTGATAGCTCTGAAGATTAATGTTGTTCGTTTATCTACAGAATACACGTGACATAGATACAAGCAGAAGCTCGGTAAGGTACTTATCTCATGTTCCAGAAGAATCATCTCTCTGAGTTAGAGGAACTGCCTTTCAGCCTCTGGTCCCTGCATTTGGTCCATTAATAAAGAGTGCCAGCAAGCTTCATTCTGACAGTAGTGCTTACAAAGTGGACAGTGTTCACTAGAAACTGATTAAACCTCCCAGCTTATTTTGCATAATTGCCAAACAGCTGTCTAGTTGTAATGACTTTAAGTTACTGCCAGCATGGGATATATTCATGCAGTTTTCCTGGAGCTGAGATTCCCCATCTCATTCCAATTCGCTGAGCCATTCAGTACCCCTAAAGAGGGAGCACTGCTTAGAAAGAAGTCATTAAAAACTTTCAGAATTATTTTGGAGATGTGAGACAGAAATGGCCTTTGGGTTCTTGGGGCTCTTTTATTCACCTCTGACAGGTTTGGGTTTTTTAAAACATTTTAAGTGAATTAGCAGGCAATTCACTTAGAAGGGGGTACTGAAACAAAGTACAATATCTGGGAATTGAAAAATTATAGTAGCTGCAGAAGTGATGACATATATGTGTCTTTAAATTATTAGGAAGACTCTGAAATCCTCACATAGTAACAGTTACTGCTTGGAGGATAGTTCTGTTGACTCGAAAAAAATATAACCCATTTGTGACTAACAGATGCTCTCAGCTAAAGCAAGAGGGCATTATCAATTTAGAAGGATTTACAGTTAGTGTAATATCTAAATTATTATACTTTAATTGTACAGATAAGCCATTAGAACAGTAAGGCTTTTGCTCTTAAAAAGTCAAGCGCTAGCTGTGCTTCTGTTAATAGACATGGTATATACACTTGGTTTTGAGGGGAAAAAAAAAAGTCAAGGAGGGCAGGGAAACTTTCCTCTGGAGACTTCATTTTACATCTCATCTCTTCACAACTGGCCTGTGCCTCTCTTGACTATCGCTTTACCCTTAGTTCCAACAAATGCAATGTTTTCTCAAGTGTCAGCTACAATTTTAAGCAAGCGTTTGATGTCTGCCTTCAGAACAGGAGATTTGCCTTAGCGTGATGAGGGATTTTTCTGTTTGTTCATTTTGCTTTCCTTCACAAATGATTCAATATGGAGTAAGAACCAACATTTTGGAATATGTGGGAGTTGTATGAATTGTGTATGCTGTATAAGATCCTTCTAAGGTGGTAATGTGTGCTTGAAGTACAGAAACAGTTAAACTGCCTTTCTTTTTCTCCTGTCTCTCTCCATGTTTTTAATACGAGTCCTGATTCATTGCTGAAGGAACTTCCAGTTAAAAAGATAAAAGAGAGAGGGAAAGTCAGAAACCTGAACCCTAGTCAGCTGCGTCTCCCAGTTGTGAAACAAAGTACAGTATTGAGCTGGTATAGCCCTATGTATTGCCTGTGCAGAGAATGAATGATGGCTGCTTTGCCTTTTTTTCAGTTAAGATGTGCAGCACAGTGTATTTTGTATAACACAGAATGTGTAGTGATTTTTATCGTATCTTAAACGTTGGCTTATTTACGCTTCACTCCAGGCATCACTGTTAATGCTGAAATTATACAGAATTCATAAGATGGCCTTTCTTCTATCTACAGCCTCAGTATCCAGTAGTGAAACACATGCAGGTAGCTGATGCTAATACCTTTCCCTATTTTTATAATAGAATGTGTGGCAAAGCCTGGAAATTTTGATTCATGTTGGGTATTTCTGTAAAGACATCACTTTTTATTAAGCTGCTTTACCTTGCTGTAGGGTGTTATGTCGTGTCTGTAAATGAAGAGCATTTGAAGCCCCATTTAAATTGCCTTATACTTTTACATGAATGAATTATATATCATGGCTGTCTGCCTCAATCTAGGTTTGCACAAGTCAGAAACTCTGCAGTACTTTGAGGAGGAAAGTGAGTGATATTGAGACTCAACTACCAGCTCTACTTGAAGCCAAAATGCTGGCTGTTTCAGGTAAGTTTTAAGTAATGAGAAGGACTAACGCTGATGAGTGGTGTGTTAGAGCAGCTGTTGACCTTTTCATAGCTGAGACTTCTTAGGAAAAGTTGTTGTGCACTTGGGTAGATCCCATGAAATCATGGCAAGTCTGGCCAAACCGTGTGTAATGCCTTGTGTAAGGTGCAGGCCCCTCTCTGTGGCTGGGAACTACTGGCAAAGCAGATGCTGTGTGGTAAGCAGTAAACATGCAAAGAACGTAGGTGAAATTGATAAATAATCATCAATAGCTGATCCCGGACCTTACAAGTTATATGCCTAGGGCTCTCTAGCTAAGAGCATAAATTTACAACAAAGGTGTAATAATTACAAGTGTGGCTTTAAATGACACTTTAAAATGGAATACAATAATTGTCAGCTTCTGTTGTTCAGGTCATTAAACAACTAATGTTGGCAGCAAAAGAGCAATTTGGTCTTTGGAGTGCTCGTGCATGTTATTTACAACCAGTAAAACATTGAAAAGTGATTACAGAGTCTGATACATAACAGCTTTACATGCCACTTACTTGGGATTACTGCACTGTTCACTAAGGAAAAAAGGCAAAGCACAGCTCTGTCTCTTAAGTTTGAAGATGTGGGGTTTTTAATTCAGCAAATTGTTTGCAGATGTGTAAGTAGGTGTCTCTTTGCTAGACACCTGCCTCAGAGAGGAACCTAAATAGGAGGGAATGTAGACTTGGGTACAAGGAATTTTGCAGTGTTACACCAAGTAAAGAAAGGCTGGAGGGTTTTTAATACATGTCAAAGCGACATGTTGTAGCTGTCTGTTGGTGATTTACCTTCTCAATTGGATACATGAATCTAGTACCAGCACAGATGAATTATTTTAAAATGAAACCTCGTGCAGTGTCACATGTTTTGTTTGCCAAAAGTGGATAACATCAGGCTTGAGCAAAACCCTAAAGGAAATTAAGGACCAGATCTTGTATTGGTGCTGAGCACGCTCAATTTCCTTGCTTTTCATAATACCTTTTCAAAATGGAAACCCTCTCTATTTCTCTGTCCACCTGCGAAAGGTAAGCTGAGCAATCGCCCTTTTCTGCTGGTGGGCTGTTTGAATGTAGGTAATTTCTCGCTTTCAGAAATGGGGTTAAAGTTTTCCCCAGCCATTTTGACTTCTGTGAGAACAAAATAATCCATAAACAAGATGTGCAACTGCTCCATGCTGCCAGCAGGCAGCAGTTGGCTGGAAAAGATGTACCTCAGTCTGACACTTTGAGAGAGTAAATGACAACTTGAGGACTATTTCCAAAACATTCATAACAATATTTTGTACTTGTTAGCTCTTAAAAGAGGTTGCCTGTTTCAGGAATGAATTCAAAAGACAAGTTAATGCTGATGTTTCTATCAACTGTTTTCACAGTACTGTGAATATGATTGCCTTCCTATGCTTTTTAAGAATCATAGAATCATAAAATTGTTTAGGTTGGAAAAAAGGTCTTTTAAGATCATCAAGTCAACCATTAACCCTAGCAGTGCCAAGTCCACCACTAAACCATGTCCCTAAGCACCACATCTAGATGTCTTTTGAAATACCTCCAGGTACTGGGAACTCAACCACTTCCCTGGGCAGCCCGTCCCAATGCTTAACAATGCTTTCATGGAGCAATTTTTTCCTCATATCAAACCTAAACCTCTCCTGGTGCAACTTGAGGCCATTTCCTCTTGTCCTATTACTTGTTACTTGGGAGAAGAGACCAACCCCCACCTCGTTACACCCTCTTGTTAGGTAGTTGTAGAGAGTAATAAGGTCTCCCTTCAGCCTCCTCTTCTCCAGGCTAAACAACCCCAGTTCTCTCATCCGATCCTCGTAAGACTTGTGCTCCAGACCCCTCACCAGCTTGGTTGTCCTTCTTTGGACATGTTCCAGTGCCTCAATGCCCTTCTTGTAGTGAGGGGCCCAAAACTGAACACAGGATTTGAGGCACAGCCTTACCAGTGCTGAGTACAGGGGGAGGATGACTTCCCTGGTCCTGTTGGCCACACTATTTCTGATACAAGCCAGGATGCTATTGGCCTTCTTGGCCATCTGGGTACACTGCTGGCTCATATTCAGCCAGCTGTCGACCAGTACCCCCAGGTCTTTTTCTGCCATGCATCTTTCCAGCCACTCATCCCCAAGCCTGTAGCTTTGCGTGGGGTTGTTGTGACCCAAGTGCAGGACTCGGCACTTGGCCTTGTTGAATTTCATACAGCTGACCTTGGCTCCTCGATCCAGCCTGTCCAGATCCCTCTGCAGAGCCTTCCTACCCTCAAGCAGATCAACACTCCCGCCCAGCTTGGTGTTGCCTGCAAACTTACTGAGGGTACACTCAATCCCCTCGTTCAGGTGATTGATAAAGATCTTAAACAGAACTGGCCCCAACACTGAGCCCTAGGGAACACCACTTGTGACCGGCCTCCAACTAGATTTAACTCCATTCACCACCACCCTTTGGGCTTGGCCATCTAGTCAGCTTTTTACCCAGTGAAGAATACGCTCATCCAAGCCATGAGCAGCCAGTTTCTCCAAGAGAATGCTGTGGGAAATGGTGTCAAAGGCTGTACTTCGGTCCAAGTAGACAACATCCACAGCTTTCCCTTCATCCACTAAGTGGGTCATCCTGTCATACAAGGAGATCAGGTTGGTCAATCAGGACCTGCCTTTCATAAACCCATGCTGACTGGGCCTGATCACCTGGTTGTTCTGTATGTGCCACGTGATGGCACTCAAGAGAATCCATAACCGTCCATGGCATTGAGGTCAGACTGACAGGCCTGTAGTTCCTCGGATCCTCCTTTCGGCCCGTCTTGTAAATGGGTGTCACATTTGCTCACCTCCAGTCAACTGGGACCTCTCTGGTTAGCCAGGATAGTTGATAAATGATGGAAAGTGGCTTAGTGAGCACTTGCGCCAGCTCCGTCAGTACCCTTGGGTGGATTCCACCCAGGCTCACAGACTTGTGTGTGTCTAAGTAGTGTATCAGGCTGCTAACCATTTCCCCCTGGATTATGGGGGCTTCATTCTGCTCCCTGTCCCTGTCTTCCACCTCAGGGGGCTGGGTACCCTGAGAACAACTGGTCTTAGTATTAAAGACTGAGGCAAAGAAGGCATTAAGTACCTCAGCCTTTTCCTCATCCTTTGTCACTATATTTCCCTCCACGTCCAACAAAGGATGGAGACTCAACCCTGTCATCACCATCATTAAGTTCTAGACAATCAAACCACTCCATAACACACAGGGCTACCCAACCACCTCTCCTTCCTTGCCTGTCCCACCTGAAGAGTTTATAGCCATCCATTGCAGCACTCCAGTTGGGCGAGTCATCCAACTATGTGATGGCAACTATGTCATAGTTTTCCTGCTGTACAATGGCTTTCAGCTCCTCCTGTTGTTGCCCATGCTGAGGGCATTGGTGTAGATGCACTTCAGTTGTGCTACTGATCCTGCCACCTTTTTGGGGGGAGAAGCCCTAATTCCTACATGACCATTCTCAGGCGCTTCTGTGGTTTCTAACACATCCATAACCCTTGCGTCTTTGCTGCTGCATGGATCTCCATCCCCTGCCTCCACTGAGATGGCAGACTGAAGGACCTTGCTAGCACGCTGTCCCTCAAGCATTGGTGTGCCACCTCCAGGCTTATCTCTAGTGAGCCTGTTTTTATTCCTTTCCCCTTTCAGATCTAGTTTAAAGCTCTTCCAGTGAGCCCTGATGCAAAGATCCTTTTCCCCCTTTGAGGCAAGTGTACCCCATCTATCACCAGCAGACCTAGTGTCATGTAGACCAACCCATATCAAAAACCTCCAAATTCTGCCAGTAACACCAGGCTTGCATCCAGGTATTGACCTGCTGGCTCTTCCTGTTTCCTTCTCTCATCATTCCCTGCAACTGGAAGGATAGAGGAAAACACTACTTGTGCTCCTGATCCCTTAAGCGGTCAATATCAGTGCACTGATAAGAAGCACTGTTTCTTTTTTTATTCTTACTCTGAAAAACTCTTGCTTCAGGGAATTTTAATGACTGTACAATCATATGTTGTTACTAAGGCAAAATTCTGGAGGGAACTGGTTGAAAAATCAAAGACAAAAGGTAATTTGGTGACAGTGGATACTGTAATTTCTTTACGTCATTGTAAGAAATGGATACATTTAGTTGATGTGATGGCACTTGTTTTTGTTAAATGCCGAGGGTACAGGGGAAATATAGGAATCAAAATATTAACTAAAAATATTAACTATATAAAGACCTGAAAGTAAAAAAAAAAAAATAATTGAAAGAAATGGAAATATTTTTGTCTTAAAGCATGAAATGATAAAATCAGAAAAGCCAGGATGCAGAATGGATTGCAGCTAGCAGAGAAACAAGTCAGGAAGAAAAGATTTGGTAAATGCAGAAAAGGAAAGAGGAAGGAGGAGATAAAAATAGCTTTTCTTTTTACTTAACAAGGCAAAAACAGTGAGCAGTGGATAATATAGAGAATGCTGAAGTATTCAGTTTCTGTGTATTCCTGTGTTAGGCATAAATGAATGACACCTCTTAAATAAGGCATAGTTAAGAAGAAGGTCTTAACCTTTTAAATACTGGTTAAGATATAAGCAAGATACTGCACATATGTATCCCCTGAACTGTCAGGCAGCTAACAGAACATTAATCAACAGCATGGATATATTAAATCGTTAGAAGGTGGGACAATCTTCAAATGGGTAATATGTAATTATTTAAAGACAGCCTTGGAATAGCATGAAATTCAGAGGGATTTGCAGTGTATATATAAGTATACAGTAAGAATAAATTTTGGTGGTCATAGAGGTTTTCATTAGTCCGGAAGCATCAGGCAGGGGATAAACGTGTTATTCCTGCTTTTTTACTTTAATAGATCACTTGTTCAAACAATATCCTCATACAACAGTACTAATGGTTACTGAAAACAACTGTTTTTCTCTAAACAGATGTTGCATTGTTTTTGTTTAATGTAG